CTAGAGAGCTGACAGGGCGACTGAAAATGGGTCCAGCTGCATCCAGCAACAAACCGCAACCAAAAACAGTTTTGTCCCCTAGAAGAACAATGAGAGCCGGTATTTCAGACGATAGGCATACGAAGCAGGCTGTACTAAAGAGTGTACGAAATTACTTGGGTGCTAAATTACCAAAAATGATTGTGTCCGAAAAGCCTTCTGTCGATGCAGGCCACGAAGAAACGCTACGGAATTCAGGATCTCCTGTGAGATACCAGTCTGCTGATGTGAGTCTGAGTGCCACGAGCCATTCCCTTTTTCAGCCTGAAAATACGCTAGTGACCGGAAACCATAGCAAAATTACCACAGAGGCGAAGCTGCTACAAAAGAAGGAGAAAATAGGTTTAATTGATCCGACACCACTGGTTTGGATAGAAACCTTAGTGCCAGTTTACTACCAGACTTTTGAAATGCAGGAATCCACAGATCATGTCACCAAAGAGTTTGACAACGTGGATGAGGTAAAGGTGTCACCCGGGAAACACAGATTTGAAAGTGACGAGCTGTCTGATGATTTTAAAACCCCAAAGCGCGGGCCAGGAACATCTCAGCTTATCGGAGACGAATGTTCATTTTCAACAAACAAGGAAACTGAGCATTCTGGTGGACAAAGTCCAGAAATTTTAGACTTTGTGGGAATAGAAACCACACATCATCCAAGTGCTAAAACTCTAGATCCTCCCCTTGAAGATGCAGAATTCCTGGAAGAAGAGATTCCAAAACAGAGTGCGACAAAAACGCAAGCATCTCAGAATGAAAAAATTTCAGGATTTAGTGCTGAAAAAAATTTTGGATCTTTAAGTGGAGAAGTTTTGGAGCCTATCGCATATGAAACTCTGTCTTTTTCGGGCAATGAAATTCCAGAATCTATCACAGATGGAGCTGCAAAATCTTTTAACAAGGAAATCAGTGGAAATACCGAAGAAACAGCATCAGGTTATGTTGCTTCGATTGAATCTACTGCAGGTGAAGTTCCCTTATCTTCAGAGAAAAAGACCTTAGCATCTGAAGATAATGAAACCCATATATTTCAATCTTCCGCATTTATCGAGAAAAAGATATTAGCGTGTAATGTTCAAGGAGTCTCAGAACTTGCCCAAGACGAGGCTTCAAGATCAACCTATGAGCGAGTTCCAGAATTTAGAAAAAATGAAGCGTTCGGTTTTTCGCTTCTGGAGGAATTTAAATCAGAAGCTGTAAAAAATGTAAAGGATGAAATCACTGGAGAAGCTTTCGGCTCTTTGGACGAAGAAATCGCAAAACATGGCAAAAACGAAGCTTTAGGTCCTTTGATGCCAACGCATATCGGAAAAGAGACCTCTGGATGTGCTGACGAAAATGCTGTGGAACTCCATGAAGAAATTATTGCTGGATCACAAAACATAGAAACCCAAGAACTTTCTAGAAATGAAGCTTCAGAATTGAGGGATGAAAAAGACATGAAATTTGTCGAAAAAGACTTAGTGGTAAAAGAAGTTATAAAACCTAGTGAAGATGAAATTCCAAGCAAACCCAGCGGAGACGAAACTCTGAGCTTTCTCGACGAACAAGTCCTCGAAGACACTGAAAACAATGCGGTAAAATGTGAGGAATTTTTAGAAAACATTCGAAAAAAGACACCGCCGCGTTCAGATGAAAGTGCTGTAGGTATTTGTTCAGAAGCTTGTTTAACAGAAGAACAAACTATTCTAGAAGTACAAGTAAAGGATGAAAGCCAAAAGCGAAAATTGGAAATTTTGCACATGATATCTTTCCCAAGCTTGGATGCTGCTGAAATTTTAGTAAAAGTGGAGCCGGAATTTCTTAACAGAACAGAACAGGAATCCCTTCAAAAAACGGTAAAAAGGCCCGAATTTTCTGGAAATGAAAACAAGACGGATAGTGAATTACCCTCTAAGACTACTTTCACTAATGTGGTCAGTACATCGACACGAATGGACGAATCTTCCGGGGAAGAACAAGTTCCACAGAAAACAGCGGCAGCTGAATCTGCAAGTTTTGAAGAATCAGCTAAAAGCGAAGTACTTGCTGGTGTAACTGCGAAAACGTTGTCGCCAGAAAGCAAGGAATTTGATGAGAATACCGGGACGAATGCTGACAAGGAGCAGGATTTGGAGGGAACAGCAATGGCTTTTACACTCCAAACAATTCATGCCAAACAAGAGGAACGAGGCCCGACTGAAATAGCAGCAGAAACGCTCAGCGGTGAACAGGTGTCTGAGCAACAAAGCGTGAACAGTAGAAATCGAAATCGTGGTGCTGGCAGTGGTGGAGATGCTGGTGCGTTTTACGGTAGACAAAGACAGAAAAAGTGGCGCAGGGGTGGGATGTACTCCGATATGGCGGACGCGTGTGGTGGTGGTGGTGCTGGAAGAAACGCTCAACAAGAACCGACTGATTCCCGAAATTACATGCAGGAGCAAGGCTACGTCAGGTTTTCGGATTATCAGCAAGAACAAGGAAGTTCCACTATTCAAAGCCAGTACCAGCAACAAACTGGCGGGGCTGGCAAAGGTGGCGAAAGTCATCGAAAACGAAACAAGAGGAATAGGCGACC